AACAGTTCACAGCCGAGCACTTAACCACCGTGCCACTAGGGCTCCTCGTATGGAGGAACTATAGCATACAGCATATAAATTACTGTTAACTTAATAAATTCCTCAGTTGCCACGGAGTCAATTCTGACTCACAGCGAACCCATGTGTGTCAGAGTAGGTACTGGCTCCGTAGGATCTTCAATAGTGGATTTTCATAAGTAGATCATCAGGCCTTTCTTCCGAAGAACCTCTTGGCAGACTCGAACCTTCAAATTTCCCTTTAGCAGGAAAGCGTGCTAGGCATTCGTACCACCCAGCTTCCCAAATAAGTCTAACAGAAAGTAAAACCACAGGAAAGAGACTATTGCAAATATTCACATGAAAAGTATTCTGAGAACGTATAAAGAACCATAAATCATAATGCAAAAAATATTTGCAATAATAAATCTGTCAGTATCATGGGTTAAGAGGATTAAGCAACAGTTATGACCTTGCACTGCGACTTTTAGTTATAAAGAAGTGCCTTTTCAAATGGAGGCTATTCTAATTAGTGTGCCACTGAATCAATGTATCAGGTCATCACCAGCATGACCACCCAACAAGGAAACCATCAGTGTTACACTACATACACAGAGTTCAGTGACAGTAGTATTGCTTCATGAAATCTGTTTTAGTTGTGTGTGTGTGTATCTAGTCACAATGCATTCTTATTATGAATCACAATTTCCTACGAAGACTGAACAAATCACTACAGTGAGTATGAAAGAAACAAAGTTACATGTCACAATAAAAAAGAACCGCAAAAACCAACAAAAAGTTGCCTGGAGAAAAATCACACACACACACATAATACAAACAGACTAGTAACTAAATATACATCTTTATAGTCATAAATGTTTAAAAACTCAAAAGTATTCAAGAGATTACTTATCCCAAGCTCTCTATTTTTTAGGTAAATAACTCAGAGACTACGCTATATGTACCTTTTGACTTTCTAAGGCAACCTCTAAGCTCTCTGGTCTCAAGACACTTAGCAATATAAAAAAATACTGGTTTCCCAACCCCTAAGCCTTTTGGTTATATGGACTACATGTATCGATATTATAATGCTAGAAACTAAAATGGAAAATTCCTAATAGCATTTATTAATTCATTTAATATTAATAATCCAATTACATATTAATATAAAAACATTTTTAAAGAACTATTAAAAAAGAAAATAGTAAAAAAAGTACTATTATTTCACATTTTTTCCAAATTTTTTTGAAAAGCGTGAGAAGACAGTTGTATTCTCCCATCTGCTCTATATTTAATTGATGGTATTACGCTTTAGTTGAAGCATCTAAAGGTACCTCACCCTCACACCAATATGTAGCCTAGAAAGGAAGACACAGGTAGAATACCTGAGCTATTCAGAGGACACCTTAAAAAGTACTCTCTAAGGTTAGATTCATGTAGTCATCAGTCCTAAGGATTTGAACACACGAATGTACACACCCTGGAAGCCCAACTCTGCGCTGCAGGCAACTCTGACTCACAGCGACCTTACAGGACGCAGTAAACTGCTCCAGTGTTTCCGAGACTATTAATCTGTATGGGAGCAGACAGCTTCATCTTTCTCCCACGGGATGGCTGGTGGGTTTTAACTGCTGACTTCGAGGTTAGCAGCCCAATACTTAGCCAACAGTGCCACAGGAGCACTTAATTGACAGAAAAATCTAGCTCATATTGGCACTTTCCTGACCAAGAATCAGTCTATCAAGTTATCAATCTGTCTTCCTCTCTTTTTCTCCCTCCCCCTTCCCTTCTCTCTGAAATCCAATTTAAATATCTATGAAGCTCACAGTCAACCAAATTTTCCTAAGGGTATTTTATAAAGGAAGAAAATATTGGCAGGAAATCAGTCCAGATTGTAGAAGCTACAATAAATGCCAGAAGACTTGAGCATCAGCACAAAATCAAAGAGATTAAACCCAGGTAGCAAACATTTTCTACAAAAAGCAAATAGTAACTATTGTAGGCTTTCTAGCCTCTCTAACCACCACTCAATGCTGTTCTTTTTTTGATGCTGTTCTTTTAGATAAAAAGCAGCTATAGTAAATATATAAAGGACTCTAACAAAACTTTATTGACACAAAAACACCAAAGGCCAGCTTGATTCTTAAGCAACAGTTAAGCAAACACTTGCTTCGGCAAAAGTTATCATCGTTAGCAATGCAGTTTGTAAAACAAAGCCAGTTTGTAAAATCAGATCTTTCCGTATTTCCCACTAGGATTTATTCAAACATAAACTTCTAACATGACTGATGATGAAACTCATGATTCTTCCAACATGAGTGGTGACGACAGAATCCATTCAGATGCTCCCTGAAAGGTTAGGGCTCTCCAGTCATCAAAAGACATCTTGGGCGTGGCACTCTGAAAACTGGACAGGGATGCCCAGGAAACAAACAAGCTCATGCCGCGGAGGCTATTCTGACCTCATGACCCGATGGGACCAAGTTGAAGGACCGTGTGAGTTTTCAGGTTGTAATCTTCACGAGAGCAGAAAGCCTCATCTATCTCCAACAGAGCCCCTGGTGGGTATAAACTGCTGACCTTGTGGCACAAACTACACCTCCAGGGCTCCTGGTGTGGGGATACAATCCTACCATCTTAGTAAGACAATCACCTATGCGTGGATATGCAGGCCCTCAAGCAGAACAGCAGGGAAGAGGAACAGGACCACACCCACGAATGTATGTTTGAAAGAGGCCATTTCTACATATGTATTCAAATCTATCTATGAATGTGGCAGAGCACATAGCTATAAAAACTTCTTATCCACAACCAAACATCTTGGTCTCTGGCCCTAGGAGCACAGAGAACTCATGAGCAATATTCTGCATACTACTTAATGGTAGACAAGGGTTCTTAAAAGTTTATGACCGACCATCTTAAGATGCAACTATTAATTTCTTCCCACTAAAAGCAAGTAAGGATGAAGAAAACAAAGGTGTAAAGGAACAATTAGTACAAAGGACTAATGGACTATATATGTGAACTTCAGCCTCCAAGCCTTTCAGACCACACGAACTAGATGGTGCCTAGCTATCACTACTGATTATTCTGAAAGGAATTCTATGAGAAGGTTCTAAAGAGAATGAGAAGAAAATATGGAGCAAAATTTAAAATTAAGAAAATTGTAAAGACTGTATTTAATACAGACTGGGAGAACCCTGGAAACTAGGACTTTTTAGGCCCCCTTCAAGCCTGGAACTAAACTCAGCTACATGGCTCAACTTTTAGCCAAATGTCAGACAGACCTATATGGCAACACTTCCACCAGGGCAGAATTCACTCCTTAGAACAATCAACCACAGCAGCTCTAAACGCCAGCATTTGTCCAAGGATAGAGCTCAAAGTCAGGAAGAGACAGGAAGGAGAGAAAGATGGAAACAAACACAGGAGGAAGGGGGAAGTGTGCTGTTAAACCTATGTATATTGTTACATGGAAAACTAATTTGTTCTGTAAACTGTCACTAAAACAACAATTAAAAAGAAAACTTTATGAAACACAGTTCTACTCTGACACACGTGGGGTCTCCATGAGCCTGAATCAATTCAATGGCAATCAGTTTGTTTTCTTCCACTCTAAGATATCCATCCTTAAGGAGCCCTGGTGGCGCCGTCCAGTAAGTATTAGCTGGCTAACCGCAAGGTTGGTAGTCCAAATCCACCATCCACTCCACAGGAGAAAGATGAGGCTGTTCACTCCCATAAAGAGACTCTATGAGGTTACAATGAATTTGAAGATGACAACGGGTTTTGGTTAGATGTCCTTACAGTTGTTATTTCTGGGCCCTAAAAATAATCCCTTTGATTATCAGTAGAGCGCCACAGAGACTCTTTAAAATATCTTTTAGCCTTACAATAGTTTTCCTCTCGAGGGAAAACACTCCACCCAAAGTCACTGCCATCAATTGTAACTCAGAGCCGCCTCACAGGCTGCACAGAACTGCTCCTTAAGGTTTCCAAGACTAACTACTAAGGAAACAGGCGGCCTCATCTTTCTCCAAAGGAACAGCTGGTTGAGAGGAAGCAAAATACTACTCTCAAAATATTACTCTCCAGTACTAAAAGGGTACTCCAGGAAACACCTAAGTGCACACATCCTCAAGGAGTAGGGCAAGTATTTCCAATCCAATAATAAGAGATCCCAGAGTAGCCACTGTAACATTCAGAATATCATAAATCTATCTCTTTTGTTCTTAACTTTTTTTCTAGTAAAATCAAGGAAAGCAAAAAGAGAAAACAACATTTTTATTACTTCTGCATAAGGAAAGAACTCTTTCAAAAAATACAAAAGGCAGACACTATAAATGAAACAACAGTTTGCTATATTCAAGTTAGCTGCAAGGGGCAAGGAATGGCAGACAAAGCAATTCAGAAAGAGAGCCCAACTTCCTAAATAGCAATAGGAACAATGTTCTTTAAAGTTTTCTTGTGTTAAGACCACTGTATTTTTTTAATATAAACAGTCTACATACATGTAACTATATAATTTCTATTTGCACAATGAATATTGGCTTTACTTAAAAATCATATTGGTATAGTCTTCCAAATCAATTATTTCACTAGTTATAACATGAGCAGAGAGCAGCAAATAGCCTTACAATATTCGGGTATTTCTCATCTCTGAATCCAGTACGCCACCTGCTGGTCAAAAGCTCTCAGTTCCTATAAAATTGAGAGACACTGGTCTGGAAAGGAGAAAACCTAACTTCTTTCATGCTGAGGGATAATTCTTAATGTTACTAATGCAAATGCATATGAAATTGACATTCAAAAGATTGCTTATTTTGAAGAAATTAAAAACTTTGTATTTCTTTTTAGTGAAACCGTTTTCAGCTGTTCATTTCAGGGCACTTTAACCTGCTTTTTTATCTTGGTTTTTAACATGGATTTTTTTTTTCATTAGTGAGTAAAATCTAAATTCCAGACATTTAAAATGCCAAAACAATGTTCATAAAGAAACTTACCTTTGAATGTGTAATTGACAGTGTGTCCACCCACACACGCCAGCCACCCCACTCATACTTGACTGCATGGTAAAGTAGGATTCGGAAGATGGCGTACACCATTTCTGTTATCTTCTGCTCATCTGAATTCTTGGGATTAAAATAACACAGGGAAAGCATCCATTCCTGCCACACAGAGCACTGCAGCAAGCTCCTGAAAAGTGTTAAGAGGGCACTGAATTACTTTTCCAAAAAAATAATAAATCATTTGAAAAGATTCTAAAAACTAATGGTTTAAATTAAAATAAGGTAACAAAATTATCTGCAGATGCACATTCAAAACAATTAAAGGATGTGGTAATGAAACTAACTGTATAGGACATTATTTATCTATCCTTAATGAAGAAAGCATATGGGATATTCATTTCACAGTACTTTTCAAAGTAATTTTTCTTTGGCAAAATGTGCTTATACAAAGGTAGACTAGAATACTGAAAATAAATGCTTTGTGATTCTGCTTACCTCCTGTTTTCTCTACTGTTATTAAAAAGTTTAATCATGTCAGATAGAAAGGCTCTGCGAACCTCCATGCTCTCTGGACACTGGGGAGAATTTCGAAGTAGGGTCGCAATTACTTTTAGTATCTCTGCAAGACAGTTTATAAATAAGTAAAAAAGAAACCACAGCCACAAAAAAAATCCAAGATGGAAGATCACCAATACACTGAATTTTCTCTCATGTCTCTAACGTAAGCATCTACTGAAAATACCTTCTGCATGGTTACAGAAAATACGCAGAGAAAAAACTGACAATGGATCATTAACAAGCACCCACTATAATTCAGTAAGAGGCTTTTTTATTCCATACCACGTATTAGTAAAGCTAAATTTTAAAAGGTGGAAATAAAGCAAGTCAGGTGATAAATTAAATAATGGTGAAATTTCTGCTAAATCTCCAGTCTCTTCCACACAGTAATCAGAAGCTCAAAGAAAGAGAACAGACTCTCGGCTCTTTCACCATAATTTATGCTATACCCAAAACCTTTCCTTTATTAGAGTGAAATTTTAAAAGCTGTCAAGATTTTTGTCTGTAATTTTAAAAGTACAATTAGAGTACAATTTTTAAAGTACAAAAAAATGAAATTAAAAATCTACTCATTCCCTACCAATGTAAAACAAACCTGCTACCACAATTATCTTAAGATAAAATTGCCTGAATTCCCCCGTTAACTTTTTTTAAGAGTCTTTTTTAAATATAAACTTCGATCTAGAACTTAATAAAAAAGAAATAAAAAATAAAGCTATTATCCTGAATCTAAAATTTAAAAAAACAGATCAAAGTTTAGTCAAATAATAATTTTGGAAATTCTAAACCAGCTTTTACCAAAGACTTTGGTTGTTCTAAAGCAACAGTTTTGTTTGCTTGGCTGGTTGGTTGATTTTTTAAAATAAGAGCCCATTTGAACTTACTTTGTCATGAAATTAATGGAATAATTTCTAAATTGTTCTAGCGACAACCCCGACTTTTCTCTAGGCAAATGATTACAATGATCATCATCACGACACTGGTGATAATGACAAGGACAGCACCAACTTCTGAGGACATACTGCCTTAAGAGACCATTTAAAGTATATGTAAGTACTTACTCCCGTCACCTATACACAAGGATAAGTATTGTTATCGCTATGTGAAAGATTAAAAACTGATGCGCAAGCATATTCGACAATTTAATCAAAACCACAGAGTTAGTAAGACATGTATAGCAAGGATTCCAAATCAGGTTGGCTCGATCTTTACCCATGAAAATAAAGGGAAACAAAACCAGTAGTCATCAAGTAGCCGTCCCCTCATGGCAACCCCGTGTGTCACAAAGCAGATCTGCTCCCAGGCCATATCCTTGCCCGTAGTAATCTCTACAGACGCAGGTCATCAGGCCCTCTTCCACGGGCCCCCGTGAGTTACCAACTTTTATGTTGGTAGACAAGCAAAGACTACTTTTACCACCCAGGGACCTTTAACCACCAGAAATACGAAAGAACTTCAAAAAACTCATGGGACAATAATATTTTTCCATGAAGATCTCTCATATATTGCCTCTCTTTTCAAAGCCTGTATAATCTAGATGTATTCAAAATGTGTTACTCTGTAACTCTTCCTCCGAAGGTGTATATATGTATGTATAATGTAACATATATATATATATGTATGTATTCTATTCAAGGCTTTTCCCTTTCCTCACTCTCTAAAATCATATGATGGCTCTCTAAAGCAGCAGTTCTCAACCTCTGGGTCGCAACCCCTTTGGAGGTTGGACTACCCTTTCACAGGGGTCACCCGATTCATAACAGTAGCAAAATTACAGTTATGAAGTAGCAGCAAAAATAATTTTACGGCTGGGGGATCACCACAACATGAGGAACTGTATTAAAGGGTCGCGGCATTAGGAAGGGTGAGAACCACTGGTTTTGGAAACTTAAACTGAAGGGTCATATGTTTTTAAAATTGGCAGTCAGTACTATACCCACAAACACACCTCAGCACATACAAAATGAAATTCAAAATTCTACAAACCAGTTATTTGAATGACATAATTTTAAAAGGTAGGATGCAAAAAAGTGAAATTTGAACAACTGCTTAAGAGCTCTGAGTAGCAAAAAAAAAAATGTGTTCAAAAAATATATACTTATAAACAATGAAGACAGCATCTTTCCATTCCAAATTTGGTGCTCTTACATTGACAGTAATGTAAGATGAAAACTAAGTCCATGACTCATGTAATTCAGGCTGACTTCACAAAATAATACAATCAGTGTTTTCCTGAAAATATGTTAAATCAAGCTTTTATGCATATAATTCTTTAAAACCTTCATAAGCATTTCCACATAATCTAAGGTCAATTAGACATTACATTCAACATAAAACTCATATTATGTCATTGCCTTCAATAAAATATATATTTAACGATGTTTCCAACAATGTCAACTTTAAGTTTTCCCTACACACCTTTTTTACGTAGCAAAAGAGTTCTCAAAAGTATATGAAAAATACATACGAGGATTCTGTATCTTTACTGAAGAATCTGGATCTGGGTGTTGTTTATGTATCACCTGAGTACAAATCTGTTCTATAAGAATCTACAGAAGATAACAGATGGTATTAGCATAATCACTGCATTAACATCATTAATCAACTTGAAGTTCCAACTAATCAAAACTTACTATACAAAGTATCATCTTAAGTATCTTATGCATAATACAAAATTAAGAACTTCAAAATTATAACTCAGTTTTCACTGAATTATAAAATTAGAAGCCAAATACTCAATACAGGATATAATTAAACAAAGATGGCCACACTGTTTAATAATCCACAGATTAAAAGACAAAATCTCAGGCACGTTTCTTCTAAGTGGTTAATTTAGAAATTTGAGAACACAAATTTATATGATCTTATTAATCAAATGTTAGCTCAAACATACAGGTGTCTTCTTAATCAAGTTTTCAAAGAAAATAGTAAAAGTAAATTCTAATAACTACATTCATACCTCAAATAAGACATTATATGTGGTCATAGTGATTAAATTCGTCTGCAGCATGAGTCTTTCAGATAGCAATGAAAACAATCCATGCCCAAGCATAACTTCAGCTTTTCTCCTACAATTGCAATAAAAAATGGTCAAATGTATTTTCTAACTCTGCATTATTTAGCATGGATGCTGGACAGAAGAGGCATGAAGTTTTCCACATTACTAATAAATTACAATTCAAAATTTCTCCCAATTTTATTTAAAATAGAATCACTAAGGCTACAAAACCTTTAAATAAGAAATCCTGGGGGTGAGGGCTGGGGGATATATTGGATGGTAAATATTTTAGGTTTTGTGGGCCATATGGTTTCTTTTCCAACTCAACACCCTGTCAGTGTATCACAAAGCAGTCACAAACAAACCAGTGTGGTAGCTCCCTAATAAAACTGTGTATATAAAAACAAACAGATGAACTCAACTTAAGGGCAACAAATGCCCCATCCGTTCTACACCAAAAATAGTCAATATGTTATGATACCAATTCTACTTCCACAGACAATGGGTAGAGCACTAGTGTGTTCAGCAAATACAAATGAATCAATGATTGAATGAATGAATGAATAAGGAGAGTTTTGGTTGCACACAATATGGGAAATGCCACAGCTACACATCATCAGGTTTCTAGTGCACATAAAGCCAATGAAACCACAGATTAAGCCACTTGAAATGCAGCTTCCAGGAGTTTCTGAATTCAGCTTATCCAAACATTCTCAGAATGGACACACAATAAGCGAGAGATTTATAAACTAGATGCTACTAGTCACGGTGGATTTTTAAAATATGTAGGTAATTACAGCATTATATTCATTCGACATTTTATGAATAAAAATAGAAAGTCTAGAGGAACTACAAACACAAGGGCTATTCTAAAGATTTATAAAACAAATAAATAACATACAACAGGCTTTAGATTTCACACATACTCACTTTGGGGCCAGGTGTTTTAAAAAATAGCCCATTGCTTTGAGAGCTTGTACTCTTATTCCTTCACTTTTAGATGCCAGAAGTTTATACAGAACCCTGAATGAGTAAAAATTTAAAACAAAGTATTCTAAGTACATATATCAAAAGCAAAGGTTTAATAAGCTATACATACTTTTTCCTATTATTATAAACTTAATTTCATGTAACATGTGGTGAATTTAAGATGTGGCCCTGAAATATGAAAACACACTAATCACATACAAGCTATAGTTCTTTTTGGTGAAGACCAATAAATAAAAACAAATCAGAAATGCTAATTTAAGACTTAACAGTCACTTCCTTGAGACATGAGAAAGCTTCAAAAGGTTTGTGCGAAAACGGAATTAGAAGATAATGGAATTTTTGCTCTCTTGTTCATGTGCCCACGATGCCAAAAAGGGAAGAAGGTGACCCCTAGTACCTCACTGTTACCAAGAAGCAGGAGGTCAAGGGGATGGTGAATCCCATTGGGAAAAAAAAGCCAAACAAAGAATTGTGGCCTCAGACAGGACATCCAGCCCCAAACTGCTTTGTCAAATGACCATCCTCGGTAAGTGGCTGAAAATTCCACCACCACCAAGACAGCCCACCCACCCATTAACCAGTTCACCCAGGACTTAGATCGCCAGAGAGCTCCCTAGCTACTGAAGTTGGCCCACAGGTATAGACCAGAGAAGTAGCAGGGACTGTTGGCCAAAGCTAAGAAAGCTGCTGGCAAAGAGGACAGATCGGAGGTCTCCACCAACAGGCTTCCTGTCCTTCAAGCAGGTATGCACTGCGTGCATCACTTTGAGCTGGTTGTCTTCCTATAGGCTTTGTGTTGTAAAATGGGGGCTGCCCCCTGCAGAAGGGAAGGCTCAGCTGGGACAGCTCATTCACCGGAAGTCTTGTACCATCACTGCCTTCACACAAGTGAACTCAAAAGAGAACAACAGATTACAACTGCAGGTCCAATGAGATCCGCAAGTGCTAGGGGAGCAACATCATGAGTATGAAACTAGGGGTGCACATTGACCAGTTGGAAAAGGCAAAAACCAAAGGTCTTGCCAAAGGTGTAGTGTACACAGCTGAGTTTTCTGGATATAAAATAAAAATAAAACTTGTCCTTCAGTCAACGCTCATTGGGCATTGTGGACTAAAGGTACACTGTTTCTGGGGGCCGTGGAAGTGTGTGTTCATATCCGGGGGCCTTTTTCCCTGAAGGAAGAGCTGGATCAAACCATAGGTCCCCCACATAACTCTCCAGTCTGTCATTTGCTTGTCAGTCAGGTTAGAAGAACTCAGAAACTGCTTGGTCCTATCTAGGACTTGAACACTGGGTCCTACCAAGCCACAATTTTATGATCCACCAATCGCTAATCCATTTAGGACCTAACTGTTAGGGAGGAAGCAATAAAGACACAGTATGTGAGCCCAGGAGCTTCAGTTATGGGGAAAAAAGATGGGGACATTCTGCAAACTCCTTTCGCCCCTTCTTGTGTCCACTTCACTCCCTTGGGTGCTCCAGAGAAGCCAACATAAGGTCCAGGACACGGGCACGCGCAGCTCTAACGAAAGCTCTGATTTCTTGGCACTAAGACCAAAAGTGAAATGAAGAAAATACAGGTGGAAAATCTTTATTCCCCCTCATACATAAAATAATAAATTTCTCAAACTTGGTGATCAAAAAGAGCATCATCAAAATAAATGTAACATAATGAAACTATGAAGAAAAAAGAGATAATGTCTTAAAAGCAAGTACAGAATTATAACACATTATATTTAACAAGCAAAGATTCAAATGGCCATAAATATCTCATGAAAAGGCTTGAAGACCAAAAGAGAGTGGAACAACATTTCTAAGATGTTAAGGTAAAGGGCTAGCAACAGAGAATTTTATATTCAGAAAAAATATATACATGGGGAATGATAAGGCAGCAAAGATATTCTTAGAAGACAGAAACTGAAAAATGTCTATCAAAACTGCTCAGTGAGACATGTTAAAAGTTCTCAGAGGGCAGTGAGGACTTGGAAAAGAACCACACGGATAGATGAAAGCTCAAAGAAATCGTTGAATGAATGTAAGTTCTGCTGTATTTTCAACAATAAAAATAAATTATTAAAAATAAGTCTATAATTAGTCATGCAAAAACATAATACATGAAACAGTTGACTCATATGTCTTAACAATACCTGTCATATATAAGAATCCGTGCATATTTTCAAAATCACCTTACCGAAACTTGCTTTTCTAGTGCTTACCGTAACCCATTCCTTTGGTCAAAAGCAGGAATCATGGAGCTAGGGTGTTCAGACATCAGTGCGACAAGCAGCTGGAGGACGTCCAGGAGATTGTCATCCTAAAGTTGTGGCAGACATACACGTTTTTTCATATAGGGGAAAAACAACATATTTGAAACAGAACAATTTTGAAATAACAAATTTCAACTTTTAAAAAATGGAGTATGTAAAATATATACCTATATACTCAAATATAAGCTGAGTTTTTCAAGCACGTTTTTTATGCAGTTTTTGCGGTAAAATTAGGTGCCTTCGCAGATATTCGGGTCAGCTTATACTTGAGTATATATGGCACTTGTTTTTATCAAACTGTGTTCCTTACAAACACATATCCACCTGTACAAAAATTCAACCTATTTCATTAAGGGTTCTCCTTCTCTTTTTCTCTGACAAGTCCCTCAACAAGATGGACTGGCATGGAGAGTGCCGTGATGGTCTCAAGTACAGTAATCACTGTGAGGGTGGAAGAGGACCAGGGCCAGTCCGTTGAAGACTGGTTCAGTAGGAGCTGGAATCAACCTGAAAGCCACTAACAACAACATAATCATTCAAAACGTAGACTGTCAGGGATTGTGCCGAATCCCCCAAAAATACCGAGGTTTTAAAAAGTTTGTGGAAAGATGGAATTGAACAGGAACAGGCTTTTCACAAGAACTTTGGGAAGCTTCCTTGTATGTATTAACCTGGCTAAAGCATAATTCTTGGTAGTATGGCAGTTATATACTGCTGTCATCCTCCCCAATGATATGATCCGAGGAGATAAGCAAATCAGTTGTGAAAGGATTAGAGTAAGGTGCAAAATCACCCTTTCCTACCTATGGTGTGCCCTGCATCGCCTTTCATCATGCAAGATAAGGACGGAGAGAGAAATGAGCAGAGAAAGAGGATCTCGGTATCACTAAGAAAGAGCCAGAAGCAGAGGGTGTCCTTTGGACCCCAGGAGATCCTGGACCTATGGGAAGACTGATGTCAAGAGATATGGAGTTCTCCACAGGGCTTTAAGCCCACGGAGATCAAAAGAAGACACGGACCTTCTCCCTGAGCCAATAAAGAGAATAAGCCTTTCCCTACAGTCCCCTAAAGATGATACCCTGAGTTTGGACTGCTAGCTTCCTACACTATGAGTTGTTGAGTTTATATTGGCTAAAGCCATCCAACGTCTAGTATTTTTGTTATAATACACTAGATAACTAGGACAGAGATCAATTATATAGTCAATATCTTAAATAAAAAGCTTGTTATAAAAGGGGCTTCAAATGTTCAGGGAAAGATCGAATTCAAAGATAATGGAAATTCTTTTATCTCTTAATTCCATTTTGCATGAAATTCTTGAAGCCCCCTTATACTTTATCAGGATTTCTTAAAATATTTTCTACTAAATAGTAGTTCGGTCATAACAGGATATTTGGGGCTTTGTTTTGATTTGGATTTTGTTTTTCTTTAAAATGTTTGCATAAGGATCAAAAACTGGAAGAAAAAAAACTGCATTACTTCCTTTTTTTGTCATCATACAACTTACCATATTTTAAAGTATGTTAAAGGAGACCTGATGGCTCTGTGGGCTGCTAATCACAAGGTTGAAGGTTCAAGCCCACAAGTCACTCCACATAAAAGATGTGGTTGTCTGCTCCTATAAAGATTTGCAGTCTGGGAAACCCTATGAGGTAGAATTAACTCAATATCAATGAATTCAGGATTTTAAAATGTAGGTTATGGTACCAAATCACTAAAGTCATTGCCATCCAGTCAATGCTGATTCATAGCAATGCTCTGGTGGGTTTCCAAGGTTGGTACCGGAGTTTTCAGGAGTGAAGAGCCCAGTCTTTCTCCAGCAAAACTGCTGGTGGTTTCAACTGCCAACTATGCCAGGCTCCTATTGTATGGTAGGGGCAGCATGTGTCATTTCCTACACTTATGTAACTTAATATACTTTGTTCATTGAGCTTTTCAAGAAACGACTACCAAATTAATAATATCTGAGAATGGAAAACTATATAATTTCATATTATCTACTATCAATATTTTCCCCCATCCCTCCACTATCAATATTAAGAATATAGATGACAACAAACATTTATCAATTAAACATATTGCTGTATATGATGCCACATGGTAACATTTACAGAACATCAACACGGGGGCACATGAGTTCCAACCCCAAAAATTCTTCAACAAAACCTTACAAAGCCTTTGTTGACAATTCGAGTGCATGGGGATCATGAAGGCCAACTTTGGGGCAATACTGCTCTAAAAGGAAATGACAAAACAGCTAACAAGAGTGAGTTACCCCGCTGTCCCACCTCTTCTCTGCTTTGTTATTTTGTTATGGAAGCTATTTGAATACCTAATTCTTAGTTGAGTAGATGATCTAGGGCTAAAGAGGTGAGCCCACAGAAAAGTAGTGTTTTGGAGAGTCTAAAAGATCTCTATTAAGGATCATTATGATATCCAATTCTTTGCTTATAACATAGTCCCTTGTGGTGAATAAGAAAATAAACAAAAAGATAACAAAAGAACCCCAGAAAATTCATTTGAAAAATATCTTCAAATATTATATTGAGTCAGAAAAATCTAAAAATAACTAAAGGATATATTACTCAAAAGAGAAAAAACGTAACCATTAACATTTGAATAAAATATTATATAATCAATAAATATATTCATTCTTTTCTCTCCCAATTAAAAACTGTAGACATGAATATTCTATTCTCTCTTGTGTAACAATGATTAAAGAAGGAATTATTAAATTATACAGTATCACAAGACATGAATTATAAAACAGTAACTTACTGTACATACTCAAGTATAAGCCGACCCGAATATCAGCCGAGGCACCTAATTTTACCACAATAACTGCATTAAAAATATGCTGAAAAACTCAGCTTATACACGAGTATACATGGTATCATTAAAATGCTATCTTTCAGAACTGAAAATACAGGGAATCCAGGGCAGATGAGCCCTACAGGACCAGTGGGGTGAGTGGTGAAACAGGGAGGGTAGAGGGAGAGTGGGTAGGAAAGAGGGAACCAATTACAAGGAACTATATGTGACCTCCTCCCTGGGGGACAGACAACAGAAAAGTGGGTGAAGGGAGACGTCGGACAGGGCAAGATATGACAAAATACCCATTTATAAACTATCAAGGGCTCATGAGGGAGGGGGGACCAGGGAGGGAGGGGAAAAAACAACAACAACAAAAAATAGCCTTTTCCAAGATAGACACACCCACTCATTTAAATCAATGAAATGTTTAGCTAATCTTTCAACTGTATAATTTTAAATTCTATTAAAACTAAATTACTTAAAACATATTTTCACATGAAAACCAGAGGGAAATTATTGCTATGAATTTTAAAATAAAATCATTTTTGACATTTTACTTTTTTTACATTTGTAGCACTGGTTCTTTGAAATACACTGGAAGTAGATTGTGGTATATCTTATTATTAACCAGTGAGATTTAATTCAAATACTTTGTAAAGTCTTTCATTATTTTACTCAATGTAGAGCCATCTTGTGGTAATAAAGAATACTTATACGAAGGTTCCCAACATCTAGTTCCTAAATAGACACATTTATGGTGATTACAGCATATCACCAGCATAGCTTAATTTTTAACTTTGAAACAGCTTAAAAGCCCACCTTCAGAAACTAAAATCCCAAAATGTAAAATAAAAATATTACCTCATGTATAGTGAGTAAATAATTAAGAATGGCCTGTAGTTCATCTTCCTTTACTCCAGAATCCTTTAAAAACATAATATATGGATCTTAATTTCCATTAAAAAATTCTTTATATGTAAATATAAGTATTGATTTGTCAAGTAAACAAGTGATATAAATATACCAAGATTCTAAATTTGAAACAAAAATCTTGAGACTCACTTTAAGACATGTAGTATCTAAGACAGTACAGTAGTCAAGAGATAGAACATGATATCGTGTTTCGAGCACCTTATGAGAGGCACACTAATCTTGCAGAATCCTAAAGAAGGCAGCAATAACTAACTGCTATAGCCAAAAGACCAGGTATTCACACTTAATACTCTGCTAAATACAGAAGGCAACTTTCCCATTTAAAATAAAATTTGAACTATAAAATAATCAGTTTTTCAAATTACCAAGTAAAAATGTCAGGTATCTAAAAACAGAAAACACATTCTGAGTTCTATCAATTTATGAAACAAACCACAGTTTCAGAAAAGACAAATGAAAGCTGAAATATAGAAACATTTTTAAAAAACACACACTGGGTAAGGAAACAAAGTAACTCTGAGGAAAAAATATCTAAATAAAAATAAGGTATCCAAATCTGAAAATAATATTAAAAACTAGGTTATAATATGATACAATATTATATGGCAGCAAAGAGTTGTAGTAAACAATATGAAATAAAACAATATAAAAATGTGAAGTTAAATATTAGCATCAAATGCATTTATATATTGCTGCCATATAAAAGCGAAACACCTTTTCAAAACTGTAATTCTTACTGCCTCAATAAAAGGATTGAAAGAAACAAAGTATGATCACTTAAAAAGAGTAATACACCTATTTGGTACATTTACACATGAATACTATTTCTCAAAAGTTTTAATGTTATAAGGAGCTCCCTAAAAATGCAAATTCCTTAGGGAGTCAGTTGGCTATGGTATCCCCAATGGCAGGAAGAGTACCTGGTACCTAACAGAAGCTCAGTGCATATTTGCTGAAAGAAAGAATACACACACTCAATCCCCAGCACAAACTAATCACATACAATCCAATTATCAATCTCCAACTCTGTAATCATTTATTAATACTCATTTATGACCCAAAAAGTCATAAAAATAAGCAAACAAGCATCTTTCGAAGAACTTTTCCCAAGTGTACTTTAGTAACAAAGAGTAAATAAATGAAGACAGCGTTTTATGAGAAATTATAAACTACAACATACACAGTATCATACATGATAAACAATATGGACTCACCTTTGTCACTAATTGCTTAATGAACATCAACAAGAACGCTCGTAAAGAAAGTATTTCTTTTTCATTAGGTCGTGGTCCATCTTGAAGGAAAAAAAAAAACCACAAACACTTAGTATGTCAAAGATATCAAAGCTGTTTAATACCCCCATTCCCAATATATTTCGTTCCCATTTGCTATCAGAAATGAAAAGGTCATTCTTTTACAGAGTGACCCCAATTTCATGTCTCTCAAAAGACAAGCACTCACTATCACATGCAATTAATTGCATACGCAATGTTGCAAACCCACTAAAATAGGTTATGTTCAAATTACAATGAAGAACTTTGCTCTTTGAAAGGGGCAAAGGATTTCTAAAACAAAAATGAGGTTACAAATAAAACATGCATTCAAAAATAAAATGAATTTAAGTCTTGTTTTAAAAGATTCTTGGAGAATATTAACATAACAGACATTTAGAAGGGGGATGAGTAGAACAGAAAGTTTCTGAATTTGAACGTTCATATGTGAATTGAGTATGAAAAGAATATTTCTTTACCGTTACCACTGTATAAGCTAATACGAAACTCTGAGCAGCACACCGCACCACACAGTATCATTCGCGAAACAAGGGATCATTACATTGACTGCCTTTGACAACAACTCCTCCTCCTCTTCCTCCTCCTCATGCACGGCTCCGTGGTCACACATGGCTCACATTAAGTCAATTTTCATGTCTCAAACACATAATTCCCAAGTAGAAGGCTTTTGAAACCAAACACCCATTGTTTTAAGACCCTAAATGCAGTACCTGTTTGCCTCACAAATTCTACAATTTTTCTCCCACTAATCACTATTTACAGCTAGTTCCTAGACCACCAAGGCACAGGACCACCATGACCTTCAACAGATCAATTAGAATAGGAGAAAATTGTTTAAATTTGTTCCACATGATGATTTCTAGACAGTGAATAGGTTTAAAGAGTTGGAATTGAATCACAGAGTTTGTCCAGCTCTCTCGCATAAAGGATGAGACTTTCTCAAGGTCACTGCTCAGTTACAAGATCACAATGCAAGACCCTATATGATGTACCTACAGCACCAGGAGGGCACCACCAGGAAATTCTGAGCTGCTTCTACATCTGCCACAACATTGCCACTATAAACAGAACATATAATTTCTCTGGGTCCTGGTGGCTTTATAAATTATTGATATCATTCTCTGAAAATAAAAGAAATGTACTTGAAAATTATATAGAGTATTGGACATTATGCAATCTTCTCTCTGTAAGCCATGGAGCAGCAAAAGCCTTCAACTACAACCGGAACATGAGTGGTAAACCTCCCATGCATCTTGTTCCTGCTTTCAAGCAACAACCCTTAATTCCATCAGCACACAATCCAAACAGAGTCCATGAGCCACGGGGCTGTGTCAGAAATGCCTCACGGGGGAGATGCTCTTTTATTAAATGTAGAGTTATGAGACTAAAAGGCTGAAGTTGCAGCCTATACCACAAAGAAAGAGACTATGTGAAAGCAACCATCACAACAGAAGAACTTGGCGATGGAGACAAATAGGATCTTAGGGCAATAAATTTGCAAGTTTATCAGATAATTAACTCCCTTTAATAAAAATTCAGTTTGAGGTAGGTTTTGCATTCAAGAGGGTACTACAAAAAGTTGTTGAAAAAATTAGAATTGAAAGCTAATATAATTTTCCAACTCTTTTAAGAGTCTATATACATACAACCAAAGAGCCACCTTTGGAAACAATCTTATTTTTACCCCTTCCGAAACGATAGAAATAATAAATGCATGACACCCTTCTAATAAATAGGTTGTAACTATGTAAAACTATAATTACTGAAATTATACAATTTTTTAAAAATCTCCAATCCCCAATAAACTAGCAGCTGTAGAAAACTACAGCTGATCAATCTTACTGTGATAAGTGATCTCAGCATCCAGGCTAATAACTAAGAATCTCTTCTCGAATTCAGAGCTTAAAAATAATCATCATAGTCATATTTTATCCCCAAACTATTCCCACCACCACAGAACCATTCTTCCATGAGAACACAGGCCTGCCTCAAAGATCATTGCACGCTCAGTTCCCGACCACCACAATAAAGCACATATTGCAATAAAATTAGTAATACCATTTTTCTTGTTTCCTGGTGTATACAAAAGTTACAATTATGCTATACTATGTTCTATTAAGTGCAATAGCACCGTGAAATTTTTTAAATATTATGAGAAGTATCCAAATTTGACAGAGACACCACGTGAGCACATGCTATTGGGAAAATGGCGCCAATAGATTTGCTCCACAAAAGCTAACCACAAAACTTCAATTCACAACACATAATCTCTGTGAAGCCAACTAAAGTGTGCTGGATAAAATGATGTATGCCTGTAATATGTCATTAACTCATGTCAACCTCAATTTAAAACAAATTCTTAACATTATCAGTAAAATTAAAATTTTACCACGATGACTTATATAGGTAAAAAGAAAATAAAAATGAAACCCTGGTTATAAAAAAGTTTTTATATAAACCCTTTGATGGCCCCACCCGCCCACTCACACACTATATATACATATATACATCTTGGAAAATTTGTCGGGAAAGGAAATGAAAAGATTATGGAATTTTTCCATGAACATAGGAAGGCCCCATATAACATAACAGACAGAGAGAATATACCTAGTCCTTTTGGGGTGATGCCACTCCGGTCCTGGGGATTTACTGCCCAGTAGTAGTACTTCAATGTGTGTGTGATGAGCAGCACGGTTCCGACTCTCCGGATGGCATTGTATATGTTGGCCGTGCCAATGAATTCCGTGGACAGGTAAGTGTAGAGTGTTAACTGAACCTACAGAATCAAAACGAAGACTTTTAAGTCAATGAAGCCCAATAGCATTTTATCTACTACCAATAACACCCTCCATTTACTGGAATTGTATTTGTTGCAAAAAGTAAGTGCATAGGCATGGCACATACATACTAAATAACACAAATCAACGAAAATACACTAGTTGGAAAACCAAAGCAGGTTTATATCAGCTGTATGAAACCTCCCAAATACATCAAAATTACCCTACTCTGTACAAAGCAAATAATTCTTTGATTCCTACTTGATAGTCTAATAGTAAGTGTCTCTCTAAAGTAAACCTGCTATTGATCCTATGTATGGATGTTAAAAAGGTGGAATTTATCTTGAAGAAAATCAGAAGCTAGCCTAACACAACAGGAAACAAAAGTAGGAGTATCCTAAAATAATGAGAAGCATACAAAAAGATAGAGAACTGACCTGAGGGATATTTATTAGAAAAACAGAATTTTGTTAAAATTGCTCATACTAAAATGCCTTAGGAGAAGGAAGCGGGGAGGGAGGAGAAAATATGAGGAGCTGATGCCAAGGCCTAGGTGGAGAGCAAATGCTTTGAGAATGATGAGGGCAATGAATGTACAAATATGCTTTACACAACTGATGTATGTATGGATTGTACTGAGTTGTCTGAGCCCCTAATAAAAGGATTAAAAACAAAACAAAACACTATAATCCAGAATTCTTATGTCAGCTCTGTCTTGGATTAGACAAGGATCTTTCTAGTCCTTTTCTAAATAGTCTAATTGAAAACATAAGGGTTTATTAACTGTATGTGTGTATATGTGTCTCAAACAGCTATGAATATGAGGGAATTCTAACAAAAAAGTAATAAACTTGTGCACCCATTTGTCTTCAGTGATCCCTTCGACACCTCGTGCATAAGCAAATGTGGCGAAGAAAGCTGATGGTGCCTGGATATCAAAAAGTATAGCGTCTGGGGTCTTAAAGGCTTGAAGGTAATCAAGCCTCCATCAAGCTCAGAAGCAACAAAGCCCACATGGAAGAAGCACACCAGCCTATGCGATCACGAGGTGTCGAAGGGATCAGGGATAAGGCAACATCAGAACAAAAAATCTTATCATAGTGAATAATGGAGGGAGTGTGGAGTGGAGACCCAAAGCCCATTAGTAGGCCACTGGAGATCCCCTTGCAGAGGGGTCTCGGGGAGGAGACAAGCCAGTAAGGGGGCGACGTAGCAACAATGAAAAAATACAACTTTTCTCTAGTTCCCAAATGTTTCCTCTCCACTCCCACTATCATGATATGAATTCTACTTTGCAAGTCTGGCTAGACCAGAGGATGGACTGGACAGAACTGGAAATACAGGGAATCCAGGGTGGATGATCCCTACAGGACCAGTGGTGTGAGTGGTGATACTGGGAGGGTAGAGGGAGAGTGAGTTGGAAAGAGGGAACTGATTACAAGGAACTATATGTGACCTCCTCCCTGGGGGACGGACAACAGAAAAGTTGTATGGTTACTAGTGAAGTATATGAATGACTAGTAGCGAAAATTAATATCTCCTGTTAGATCTGATTATGAATGGATCAAAACTAATTAGAAAATATAAATCACTGATAGCACCCTTTCAAAATTCATACATTCATTCTTTCTACCTTGGTAACCCAAGGTGGATTTCTCATGAAGCTTACCCTCCATGAGCATTCCCCACAGGCTCCCTCTAAGGCTGTCAACCTAATGTAGTATTCACAATGTTTCCTTTTCTTAGGCGGAATATCATATATGTTTCAGGCCCAAATCTGATCTACTCTTTATTAAAAAATAAATAAATGAAAGCTAATACAAGTCCTCAAGGATACACAAAACAGACAGCTGAAGCAGATGGAAGGTTTCACATTACTGAATCAATTGTAAATTCCAAAAAGGAAATTAAGGAAAGTTATTAACAAGTACAAGATAAGAAATAGGGTGTAATAATAGCTAGGAACCTCAGGAGATCATATGATGAAATCATTTTAAAAACTACTTCTGTTCAACTAAGGATCTAATAAAAGGTTTTGTAATCACATCAAAAGAGACCAAAACCTTTACCAATATGCTGGTTAGTAAGACAAAGAAATTTCTACTAAAACAGTTTAAAACGTTAACTTGAAACCATCTTTAAAAAGAAATAAGGCTGAGGGGCACAGAAATGAAAAAGGTCAAATTTTGAACCAGAACATAAAAAGCTACAACCTACAGCTGCCTCTCTTGATTATTTCCAAATGGCAATCAAAGTCAGCAGCTGTTTTCCTCTTTAACTTTTGAAAAGACCAACTGAGAAGAAGGTATTATTATCAAGAGAAGCCAAAAAATGCAGTTTTGTTTTGTTGTTTGGGTTTTTTTGCTGACAACTGAAGTGAATGTTACTACCATCTAAATAAGTCGTGGTGGTGCACCAGTGAAGCATTCAGTTGCCAACCAAACTCAGTAGCTGCCCATGAGATGGGTGTGCCAGCCTGCTGCAGTAAACATTCACAGCCTGGGAAAACTTCTGGGACAGACCTCTCTGTCTCATAGGCTCTCCATGAATGGGCATCAACTTGATGAGTTTGGGTTTAGGCTTGGGCTTTGGCAACCTAAATAATTCAAGCAGATCAAGAGTAGGTGGTAGATGGAGGGGAAGGAAAAGGGAAAATAATGGATTGAAAATAACTTCTAACAAAATAAAGCAGAAAAGTATAAATATGTAACTTAATAAAAGTTGTTTCATGTTCTGGTTCAAATTATGATCATTGATGTTGTAGGCTAATTTAATACATTAGCATTGGTCAAATATTTTCACCTTATAATTATTCACAAATTTACTTAAAATCACTTAAGTGCAATTAGTTTGTGGTTATGACATTAAGATACCAATTGACACATGGAATGTCCTTGTATAATTTGAATTCATGTGACCAGTATATGTGACCTCCTCCCTGGGGGACAGACAAACGAAAAGTAGGTGAAGGGAGAC